ACAAAGTTTTTGGTAGTTTCAGATCTATTATTGAAAATGAATTTAGTATATTAGGTAACAAATTTGAAAGATTTAATAATAATAGATCAGCTATCCAAGTATCAGATATAAAATATTACAATTTACAATTTAAATTATCATGTTTATTAAAAAACATATGGCAATTAGTTCAAGATTATAAAATTGAAGAATTACCTCATCATAAGTTATGGCATTGTGATAATTTTGAATTTCCAATAATAGAAAGTAAATTACATATAGCATTTAATGATGAAATTAAAATTAATAAAAATTTAAATGATATGAATGAATTACAAAATAAGTTATTATATATGAATCTTGAAGATTTAGAAGTTGATGATATAGTTTTTGAAGATGAAGATACAATTATGGATGAATTATCTAGAAAAAATAAAAAACATAAACATCCTGTTATAATAGTAGAAGATCATAATAATTAAAATATCAAATCTTAAATAGCGAAAAAAAAACCCTAATGGGTTTATATTTTTAATGGGATCAGGAAAAACTTTTTGTGTTTTATTCATATATGCCACGTTATATCATTCTATAACTACACAACATTCTAACGGTTTTCGTTCAATAGCATGATATAACTATATGAATATTTTTTTTTAATATATTTATGTATATACTTATTATTCCTCAGTAAGCCTCATTGGAATTAGTAAGTTACTACCATAACGTGATAGTCTCGTCTACCTGGCCAGATAATATTTTTAGAGTTTTTATTAATTTTTTTGATTTTTTTGATTTTTTTGATTTTTTATTAACTTTTTAATGACGTCATAAAAGTCGGAATTTCTATGTATTGCGCGCTGCAATTTACGATAATAGTTAGCAAGGAAACATTCAGCGGTGGGGCCATTCCATTGATATGATTTACCTCCCTGTTTTACCTAACGTATTAAACTTAAAACTGCATACACTTCCATTCCTATAACAACTAACGCCAGATGGAATCTGTAAATTAACATACGTTCAATATATATGTATCATTACTTCCTTTTCCATCTTTTATTTTAAATAAATACAAAATTCAATTTTTTGATTTTTCAAATAATTATTAATTTTAAGTAATTTATTTTGTGTAACGTTAAAATGTTAAGTATAACTATATTATTTTTAATATATAATATTTAATGTAAATCATAGCAATAATAACTAATCCCC